GAGTTAGACATCTTATCCTGTAAGACTTGTTTAAGCTTGGAGTGGTGTTGCATTTCCTTAAGGTTCTTCCCCATAGGTATTCTGTTTTACAGGTTTTTTATGTTAATTTAGAAATTAAAGCATGCATTATAAGGCAATCTTTAAGATTGATCATTACTGTAATAGGCTATGGCCAACTAGCTAGTTTTATCATCTCGATGCTTTAAAATGCTACTTAGTTCTTTCAGTATGAAGATACAACGCGTTTACAGAAAGGATGTCAACTACCATATGCATTGCTCATTATAGCACATGGCAGCCATTTCCCATAGAAGACTAAGTGTTTTTAAGATCAGCAACTGAAAATCGCATATTGAATTCTCAAAATCAACTTTCGAGAGCAACGATGACACCAAAATAAGGCATTGCTCTTGTATTATTGTAGATACTTGTGCATGGAACCCTATCCTGAAGCAAATATGAAAATTCTCAATGCAAACGGTGTTAAGCATTTTCAATTCAACATAGAAGAATCCAATGTCCCATTTTAATTTCATAAAGAAGCGTGTGCACACTAAACAAGTTGATTTGCTATAACCCAAGTTTTTCTGTTTGATTTATAAGTATGATTTTGATTATTTGAATTTGTGAGAATAAATAGACAAAAATGGCTGTAGGTGTTGACATACAAGAAATAAGGCTCAATTGAATGAGGCCCAATGGCCAACTGAGGTCCAATTATTAAGTCGGCCCAATTATGTTCTCTAAGAAATGGAGCCCAGTTAGGGAAATCGAGGAATTGGCTCAAATAAGACCATTGTAAAATATAAGGACAGTCCATGAGCAGAAGACTATTATTGCCCAAGCTTGCAGAATGCCAAGGATCTGAGCGAATGAACAATCCCAATGTCGCTCAGAGCGACAGTCTCACACTCGCCCAAACTTTCGAGACGCCCAAGGTCGGATGAAATATAGCGTTTTGTTCAGTTATTGAACCAGTTATGGAGTAATCTTATCACATCCCACCATCCAAGAATCTCGATTACAAACGGTTAAATAACAAGAGCACTAACAACAATTGCTAACGGTAGTTCGTTGACAAGTCAGCCATCACGAAAAAAGTGGGTAGTTATAGAGCAGTTTCCAAGCAATTTTTCAAGAGGAAATCAGCAAAGGAATATAAAAAGGAAAAGAAGACATAGAAGAAATGAGCCTGAATCAAACACTCGCAACAGAGAATATGCAATTTCAATTCATTTACTTTTTATTTGCAAACTTTCAATTTATTTCGTGTACCTGTGCCCTTTGGAGGCGTTTTGTTTCTTTCCAATTGTAATCTCCATAAATAAAGCATCATTTTTTGGGATTTCGTCTCAAGAGGTTTGTTCTCTACACAATCGTTTGAACTTTTCTTTTAATTGTTAGCGATAACCCGCGCGAAACAAGGATTATTGGAAAAGGAGGAGAAAAAATTATACGTCTATATGGAGTTTGATACAAATGCATTACATTTTTCTGTCTTAAAGGCATCTCATCTTCATGAGTCTTTTATATTTTTTTTATAGCATATAGAGTAAGTACCCTAAGAATGCCCTCAAATAGTAGGTTGTACCTCTCTGAGGTTAGATTAGGGTAATTAAGTCACTATTTCTACAAATTGCTTATTGCTTAGGGTCCCAAAATTTGCACCAAATTATCATTTTCAGATGTTCTTTAGAATTTGTTTGCTAGTTACTTATGCTCTATGGTAAATTTGTACATGTAAACAGAGGGGTTGTGTTGGAGTGAGTTCTCTCTTAATCAATAGTAATATTCAGATGTCAAGGCATAATATCTCAATTCTTCAGAATTTTATTACTTCTCGAAGGTTTTGAATTCGTTATTCTTTGAAGATAAATATTCGGTATGAAACTGAAGTAGGTTTTTCCCAATTTTGTTCATTCTCAACTATGCATCTTTTTAATACTACATCTCTATGGTGGAGTAAAAAACATGCAGAAATAGAGAAGGGTGCCTGCAAGATTGACACTAAGAGATAGTTTTATCCGAAAAAAATGTAGTTTATGAGATCCAAAGGAACTGGGAGAACTGATGCATAAGTGCACCATTTGTTATTACGTTAAAGAGTTCACTACTCTTATTCTTCATTCGGCACTACTTCTTTTTTGTCCCCTCCCCTTTTAAATGGACGTCTCAAGGATAAAGTCATCATGCTCACTTCTACAAAGTTGTCATTTTTAGTTCAAAGAAATTGTGTATTTAGAGAAGATGAGTTGAATGGATCGTGCAAAAGTTCCTCGACATTTGATTGCTCTATGGAAACACTAGTGGCTTTGCTTGTTGAGAAGTAGTCAAGTAGAGTCAAACTCACAAATAAATAGCTCATCTCACGGGTTAAGTGGCTAGCCTAAGTTTGCTTTTATTTTCGTCCAACGCGATACGTTGTTTAAAAATCGGTGTGGTATACATATCTAAATTAACATTATAAACAAATTCTCGATTTGTTTCAGGTGCAACATGAGCCAAACATGCTACAAGAGTCCATCAAAAGGGACTGAATTTGTCAATTTCTCAAAGTTTGGGAATAAAAATCATATAGAAAATCGATTGAGGACAGAATCACTACCTTAGACAAAGGTTGGGGACTAAGTTTGTAATTTATCCTTTATTTTAAGAATTTTCTCTTTTGAATCCATTTTTATTTTTTAGGTCCTCTTTGAGCCCCACTTTTCATGTAAAATATAATTTGAAAAAGTAGGTTAATGATAAATGTATGGTTACAAATAAATGAAGATTTTTCGAATTAGGTGTAAATTATTATGCCCCTGTTTGATTTACATTATTATTTCATTACAATGAAAAATATAACCGTTATCTTTCACGGTTATTTAAATTCAAATTTTCTATCTCTTATATAAACCTCAATAACGATTATTTTTTATTCTCATTTTACAATAATTTGATTCAAACATATTAAAGAATATGTAATTAAAAGAAAGAGAATGAGAAAAATGTATCTCGAAAAAAAGTTGGATCAAACAGGGCTTAATTATACAACGGTACAAAAATTGCAGACAAAACATTCGAAAACCTAATAGCCCTTAAATCAATTCCGACTACCTTACGGGACTCTATGGACAACGGCACTGCAATTCCGGCAAATACTGACAAGCCGGTCGTTGTCAGGGTTAAACGAAAAGCTTCCCATTCTCCCCTCGATGCTTTTTGTGAGTACTGGGGTTTAGTTTTCCCATGTTTTACTTGTCTTTATTATTGTGGAAAAAGTGGTTAATTTGAAGCTAATTTTTGGTTTATTTTTATTGCATTTGTGTCGATTAGGGCTAGAGATTAACGAGAGGCCAAAAAAGCGACCGCTGCTTGACTTTGAAAAGTTATCAATTTCTGGTTCTTCATCTAGTAGATGTATGTTAAGCTTCTCATTTTTACTTTGTATAAATATTTTTCTTTTAAGTTTTTTTCCTTTTTTTTGTCACTTCGACAGTGTGTGTGGGGCTGAAAGCTGGAGGAAGGTTTCAGTGGCAAATTCAAGGGTTATTTAATAAAAATCCTCTTTTGCGCCCGTAAGTAAAAAATCAAGCGAGGAAAAAAGTTATTATTAAAAGGAAATGAAAAGAGCAATGAAGCTTTCTGGCAAGACTAATAATGGGTTGATATTAAACTTTTATCTTAGATTTATATGTTTTATACTGCCAGCTTAATATAAATTCGTGCATTGCTTTGATGTTTCACTGAGTCTGCTAAACTCATGCCCAACACATGAATTTGTTTTGTTTGGAGTAAGTGACTAGTTGAAGCATTTACTGGACAACTTTTGTAACATATTCTTCATTGTGACTGGTCATAGAAAAGTTCTCTATTTTCTTTGTGGTTTTCGAAATCAGTAATGTTGCCTGGTTGGGAGACATGACAAAATTCATTTAATACTTGGTAATAAATGCTCCTAGTTTTCAGGGCGTGTGATTAATTCCTAACATGATGCTTTTCTTTGACATTTTTAAGTGGAGGAATTGAAGACCAAAAAGGTTCTTGTCCGTCATGTAGAGTCTGTAATTAGCTCGGAGGTCTCTATTGATGTGCTGCGATCTTTTGTGGTATGTCAGCTAATATCAATTGTGTTTCCGCACTATCTGTATTTGGGCAGTTTGTCATGTGATGTTTTAATCCGGGTAGTACAATATTATTAGTCTGTATGCAATGTACATTTTTTTGGTTTGCTATCCTGTTTAAAGATACATCTGTAGTGGATGCTGATGGTGAACTGGTTGTAACTTGTAAGTAGTCTAACTGGATATTGTTGGTTGAACAGCCTAATTCATCTGATGCATTGGAACTTAAAGAAAAAAAATGAAGGAAGAAGATGAACTTTTAAGACTGAGAATGTGAGTTCTCTCTCTCCCTCCAACACACACCTTTTGTCAGTCCCCCCATGCACCACCTATGCATCCATTTTCTCATGTCCTCAATTGTTCTAGTTTATCCTAGTTCATATATTGAAATGTAGAAGATTTTCCCTGCTATTCCACCTTTTTTCATAAGCAGAGCGTAATTCCTTTTCATGTAATCAGAGCAAGATGGAATATTGGTCATAAAAGAAAAGAAATCTCTCACTCCATTTTATGTCCATCAAAGCAAGTGCGTGAATGAAAATACTATTTAGCCCAGAAAGAAGCTAATGAGCCTATTAGGTGTACTAGTAATTGTTTGGTTAGAAAGAGAAATATCCGTAGGGATACAACCTGGTCCTTTTTAGTGAGAATAGATGATTGCTCCTGCAACCTTCCATCCCTCTCAAATGGTAAGTAAATTGACCAAGATACCACAAGCTAGTTAGTATAGTCAGCAAATCTTGTGAAAAAATAGAGAAAATCATTAATTTATAAGTGAGCTAAGCTATTCTAGCAGCCGTATCCATTCAACACCAGAAAACAGAGAAATTATAAGTTGAATATTTTAGGCGTGTTACTGTAAATGTACACTAGGGGGGCTTTAATTGGGATAGAATGTTGGTTGGAGGAGGAGCCGAGGAGGTAAGTAGTTCTAATTGTCCTACACAGCAATGCTAAGAACCTCTGTTGCATGAACACTTCACTAGGGTGGGTATCTGTGTCCGACACGTGTAAAATATTGACACTTTTCGAACACTCTACCATGTCTTTATTAAAAATATTATGTTTATTAAATAATAAATAGGTACTCATGTTTAAAAGATTTCAATAAGAAAAATTGATAACAAGTATAAAACTAAATTTATTCTATATAAATGAAGAATTTTAAAGAATTTAATCAACGTCTCGAAAACATGTCATGTCAGTACTTTTTAGAGAAATTGTGTGTCGAGAGTTGGATTGGGGGTGGCAACAACTTTGTAGGTGAGGAATTGGCGGTGGCAACAGGATGTAATCCCGTTAGGCGTTGTGCCTATGTAAGAGAGCCTTGCCTTTGGCCCATTAGTGACTTCGGAAAGGAGTGCATTAAATTTGAGACTAAGGGAGTATTATTTGAGAATGTTATGATCTTGATCCGAGTTTCTAGATCGAAAGTTTGTATCTAGGGCTCTGTGAAGAATGGCCATTTCCAAATTGTTCATTGTTCATGATTATGCTTTCAGCAATCATTTATTGTTTCTCTCATTTTTCAATTAATATATTCTTTTTAGATGTCCATAGCTAAAATATTTCATATAAGGTGTGTTTAAGCCCCATGTTTAAAAAAAATAAAATGTTTTGTAATATGAATTTTTATAGAATGTGCGGTTAAAAAATAAGGAAAGATTTTAGGTTCATATGTAAAATTAATCTATTTAAAAAATGCGTGGTTAAAAATGAGTTTGAGAAAAAATAAGTTTTTATAGAATGGAGGTCGAACAAGAGTATGATATATGTACTTTAAATAGTGGAGCATTGAAACTTGCAATTTTATTAAATGCAACCATGACAAAATACAAATAGATCACTTTCTATTTTAAAAAATTTAAATAAAGAGTCTATTGGAGCCTATTTTCAAGGTTTGACTCTTAAAAATAAAGAGCATGTCACTTTTATAGAGTTCCTTGGAGATGCTCTTTTGCTAATGCTATTCTAAGATGTTGCCAACTCAGAGTAAGTCCATCCTTAATGATGGTTGATCTTGTGAATTTAACCGTGATATTGTAGCTTTAACCATTTTGAGGTTTTGGTAGACCTAAATTTCTATTTGTTGTTGCCATTTGAGGGCATTGTTCGGTTGATTATTTGTCACAGTATAGATGAATACTTGAAGGAAAAAATTCTCATTTTAAGAGCAACGTATTGTTTTGGTTCCTCAAAGATAATCAAGAGCGTGATATATTTTGATTAACTAACTTTACATTTTCTATTGAACTCTGCAGAAACAAGAGCAGTTGCTCATCAAAGCTAAACAAAAACGAGAGGTACATTCATACATGTATATTTTGATGACATCCTTTTCACTAATCGATTTTAAGAGAGCTGGATCATCTAAGTTTCTGTTATTGTGTACAAAATGTTCATAATTTAATGTCTTTCTTCTTAGCATGGGTATTGTCTATCTGGAAAGAACAAAGCCTAGTAAAGAAGACACATTGAGAGAGCATACCACAATACAATAATGGATTTGAACTAGAGTTAAAAATCGCATTCTTCTCTTTCCCAAACTCATCAAAACTAAAAAGCAGAAATTTTGCTATCTTATCGTCTTAATGAGATTTCTCTTTCTTACTAATTTTTATTGTTTATGATCATTGCATGCCACTAAATGTTCTCTTCCCAATGTGTTAAATGTTGGCTGAAATTTAGAATGTGAAATCTTATTTTGGTTCAGTTTGAAGCCTTATTAACAGTCCTCCCTAAGTCCTTCCACCAACCCTCCTGACCAAACAACCTCAATGAGTAAAGCGTTAATGTTATTACGGTGTTTTCCTTGTCAAAAGTTCTGTAGCGTAGATCACTTGTTATTCTATGTTTCTATTTATTTTCATATTTGTTTCATTCCTGTAGGTTTTATCTGAAAATGCTCGTTTTGAGCAAATATGGAGAAGTCGAAAGGGGAAAAATGAAGCTGTAGAAGATGAAGCGGTACATGACATATATCGACTCTATGATGTTGTTCAGGTTGATGAGGAGGAGAAAGAGAATGAAGTGCAAGAAAAGGAGTAAGTTCTGCTGTTGCATAATATTGCACGGTTAGTTTACCAACAACCCTTCCTGATACTAAATTCCGAACTTTGATGCAGGGATATAGAATTGCAGGACCACAGGATGATGGCTCAATATTTGCCTCTCCTAAGAGAAGTTTTGTCAACTGCTGCTGTGGAGATTGAAGATAATATTCACTATTACACGTCCAGACGAGGTTTTTCTCTTTCACTTGTTCTCTTTTTCTTTCATTGGGATGTTTCCTTGTCCTTCACCCACCACTCTTCTGTTATTGTGGGCTTGATAGTGTGTCAAATAAATGTAAGACATTGCCTCCAGGTTTATTTATGAAAAATGAAAAGCAAAAAATGGATAAGAAGTATGATTGGCTTAAAGCATGTTTGGGAAGTGCTTATAAATGGTTTAAATTATAAATAGATAGAAATGAGTGGTGAATAAGTGAGTAATTCTTGTGGATCCCTCGAAATGGGGGGGATAAAAGTGGCTTGAGTGTTTATAAACAATTTTTAAGCATGAGCCAAAAATAGGCTTATGTAACATTGCCTTTTATCATCTGAAAGACTGAAACTGTCTGGGAAAGGATTAAAACTTCTTGGTGCACACATATATTCTGTATTTTTGCATCTATTAAGACTGTTCTGGTGGTTTATAATATTTGATCGCCGTGCAGCATTTTCAGATGATAATGTTTATGATTTTTATGCTGTTAAGGGCGACCCCAACATTACCGAGACTGATTCTGCAAGCCAATTTCCTTTGTAAGACTTGGTTCCTTATGTATGTTTGCTGATTATGATATTTGATGTTCTATTACGTAACATAAATCATTGTACTTATAAGGGTTCAAGTTGACGATGACGATACCTACTATGATGGTCCAGATGATTCAGAATATGAAACAGATGATTCTAATGGTATAATCTCCTCTCTCTTATCTCTAGACGTGTTTTTATGCCTAATTCAATTTATTTTGAATCTCAGCGGAGAACAGTCCATTTAGTGAGTATCCGGATGAAAAGACGCCTGAGGATGAGGATGATGTTGTAAGCACAGATCATCTGATGAGAAATCCGAGCTTGAGAGCAGATATTCCGAGAACCGATCTGAAGAATTTGAAAGTGAAAGTCATACATTTTATAATAAACATGAGGATACAGGCCCTTACGACTGGTTGGACAATGCAGATTCATTGTTCACAGATGACGCGTGCTTTGATGGCGATGAGGAAATTTACGATGTTGGTTGTCCTAGCGATGAAGATTTCAGGTAATTTCGTTTTTGGTCCAATGCACGTATTCCGTCTCTGTGAATATTTACTTTCAAGCATGTATGGATAAGTTCTTGTATGTAAACTTGGGTCGCAGTGCATTTTCAAACACTTGATCAGTTTTAACAATTGGTATTTGTACAATGTATTGTGGAACCAACTTGCTTAATTTGGTAAAGAAACGCAATATACCGTCTAGGTCTAGTATAATGACATATTAAGAATACTTTCATTACAATTGGAGACAAAAATATCAAGAGATGGTAAAAAATCTCAGAGACAGTAGGACAAGGAAACGAAAGAGCAAATAATATAAGGACTCATTTGACATTACTTTTTAGAAATCAAAAGGAGTTTTTGAGAAACAAAAGTTGCTTTTGAACTCGTATGGTTAATTTTATGAAAATGTTTTATTTTTTTGAGTTAGAAGAGCTTTTAGAGGTTTCTAGTTCAATGCGACTTCCTCTAGAAGCATTTTCGAAATAGGAAGCTCTTTAAGAAATTAATTTTCAATAAAAGATGAAGTAGTTTTCTCAAGTTCTTGTACAGAAAGCAAATGTAAAAATCATGTCAAATTGTACCTAAGTTTCGTACAATGGCATTTTAAGTGAAATGTAACCATGAATGTACGAGTTTTCTTGATAACATACCAAACATACGAGTTTGCATGGAAGAGATGAGGCAGTTAATTTACTATTAACACAAAAGATTTTAATACTGAACATACTTTATTTTTGGTTTTCAAATATTCAGTAAAAAATGAAAAACAATATTTGTCCTAGTAATTTCATATATAGAGCTTGTTTGAGCCTCATTTTTTTACTAAGAATGTATTTTAAAATAATAGATTGCTAAATAATGTGTGGTTAAAAAATAAGAAAAATTTTAAATTTACGTATAATATTATTTTATTGAATAATGTGTGATTGAAAAAAAGATAGAAAAAATATATTTTAAAAATAATGAGAATAAAAAAAGGGCATAGTAAGACGCCATCCATAAATCTCATAGCTGTGTTTATTCATGAATAAATCTCATTCATTTTATTAAACATTGTTTGCTACATTAAATAATTTTCACCACTTATTTACTCGATAAAATATTCTACACACAAAACCAATAAAATTACTTTACTTTTCAACCACATTTTCTCAAAAAAATATTATTCAAAACTCTATTTCTTCTCGCAAAATGGGAGACAAAAAAGCTTTAAATTAAGTCCTTATTTGATACATATTCTTTAAATTTATTTTTCTAAGTATATATTTTTTTCACTTTTTTATTTTTTATCACACATTCTTCATAAATATCACTTTTCATAAAATATATTCTAAAAAATTCACATCAGACTAGCCCTAATGTGCTAGGTGATTAAGAGTTTGGTAAATTTATTTTGAGAGTTTTTGATTTGGATTAGAACAAAAATGAAGAATCCTTTTTTAAGTTATGGAAAGTTTTATCCAAACTAAAAGAATATTCCTTCTAGGATAGTAATGTTTCTGTCATCCATTTTCTCAAAACTCTTTTTTTCCTCAAATTCATTTCCAACCAAACATTTACGCAATAAGCTCATATTTGACTCCCATTAAAAAAAAAAAAACTCTTTATTTCTCATACTCATTTTTAATTATACATTCATACAATAAATATTCTGCACGTAAATTTAAATTTTTTCTCTACTTTTTAAATATACATTCTCAAAAAAATCATCATTCAAAATATCATTTTCTCATTTTAATGGCTATCAAACAAGGTTTTAAATACTTTACATGTAAATTTAATTTTTTTTAACCAAATATTCTTCAAAAAATTATTATTCTAAAACTCATTTTCTCCAAACAAAAATTATTTAATATTTGTCAAACATGGGGCTTCTTCAAGTCAAGTCTACTCATAAAAATGAAAAATATGACCGTTATCTATGACATCAAGTCATCAATTTTAAATTTCTAATTTTTGTGTGAGGTCCAATAACGATTATATTTTTCATTCTCATTCTACAATAATGAGAATCAAACGGGCCCTAATTACGTTAATTTTGCTTGTACCTGACGCATAAATTATCTACACTTTCGAGTTTTTGAAGAACATCGGAGAAATCAAAAGGGTTGAAAAGTGGAATGACAAAGAAAGTCTTTTATAAAGCATGCTACAAGATAATTCTTAAGATAAGAATATATTTATTATTTCAACATTATTATATTCTCATCCATATACAATTTAATTAAAATCCTATTTTTCCAACAAAAACCCTACCCCTACCTCTATATTAACCCTCATTACCCAATTTAGCTTCTTTTCATTTTAATTAAATATAAGTGTGTACCCATGTTTTGTGTAATATGACCCGAGTTTTGGACAAACAAATAATACAAAAGTGAAAATCTATTGATCAAAATGTTGTGATTTAAAATTTGAGGATGAAATTGCTATAAAAATGATAGGTTGAGGATCCATGGTACATTTCAATTCTTAAAAATTTGATGGGTCGGGTAGGAAGAAACCGGTACCGTAATCTACCCGATCCGAGTTCCCGACAAAGAAATACATTCCAACCAAAGTGGCACAGAAACGTATATATACCTCTCTCGATTTTGATCGTTTTATTCCTTCTTATGCAATCACAAATCACATATCAGTCCAAGGTCCATCGCGTATTCTATATTTTTGTTTATATAAAGTGGTGGAACTAGTGCTTAGTTGTATTCATCTTCACCAATCCTCCACCATTCTTTTCTTGTACGTGTTTTCATGGTGAAGTTGCAGAGAATTCTGTCAAAGACTTTGTCTAGAAGGATTTCACACTTCCCTCGTGCTATAACACAATCACCATTCTCAACTTTGGCTAATACTGCTGGAGAAGATGACGCCGTTCTTCTCAAAATGCCCCCCTTCGACTATACTCCTCCGCCTTACGCCGGTACCTCCGCCGATGAAATCATCAAGAAACGAAAAGCTTTCCTCAGCCCCTCCATCTTCCATTTTTACGATGACCCAGTAAGATTTTCATTTTTGGGCTTGAATTGCTTTGTTGTCATTGATGGTGTGGTGATCAAGAATGTGTTTTTGTGTTTTGCAGTTGAATTTGGTTGATGGGAAAATGCAGTATTTGTTTGATGACAGGGGTAGGAGATATTTGGATGCTTTTGGAGGAATAGCCACTGTGTATTGTGGGCACTGCCATCCTGAAGTAGTGGATGCAATTGTTAGCCAAACAAAACGCCTTCAGCATGCAACCATTTTGTACTTAAATCATGCTATTGCGGATTTTGCTGAGGCTCTTGCTTCAAAACTCCCAGGGGATCTCAAGGTTTATTCATTTACTGAATTGTTTCTTGATACTTTTTGTAGCAGCAGATGTGTTTGTAATTTATCTTGATTAATTTGGGTCGGATATATTTTGTTAGGTTGTTTTCTTCACGAATTCTGGGACGGAGGCAAATGAGCTGGCTTTGTTGATGTCACGGTTGTACACAGGTTGTCATGATGTCATTTCAATTAGGAACGGGTATCATGGCAATGCGGCAGGGACAATGGGAGCCACAGCTCAAAGTAGCTACAAATTTAATGTTGTTCAGGTATATATTCTCTCTCTTTTTAGGCATGTGTTCCAGTCTTGTTGTAAGTTGGAGATTTATTAATGGTGCCTATGCTGAAGGAATGTTCAGGTTGCACAATGTGCACTTAGTAAAGATCATCCACATGATATAATTACAACATAAATAATGCAACAACTTTATAATAATCAATACGTTTTGACAGACTAGTTGTGAATTTCTTGTCTTTGATGCTCAGTATGTGATGACAAAATAAGTTCGTACAAGAACTGGACTACTGAGAATTGCATAAGGCGGCTTCTGGAGAAAAGAAAAAGATTAACACAGTAAATATAGCTGGAAAATGTGCGTCAGTGGTTAAATGTGTCAAAAGTTGGATAGTAATCATAATTTAGAAAAACTATTATTTTTCAGAAACCAAGATTTGGGTTGTTACTTTCTTCTTATCTAAGACTTTGAGCATTGTAAGTAGAAATCTGTTTCTATTTGTATTTGATTCCATTTCTGTCCTCTGTCAACAACAGACTGGAGTTCACCATGCTCAGAACCCTGACCAGTACAGAGGCATCTTTGGTTCAGATGGATTGAAGTATGCAAGGGATGTTGATGAGATGATTACCTATGGAACATCTGGTCGTGTTGCTGCATTTATAGCAGAAGCCATACAGGTTCTAATTTTATTAAGTACATAGGGTATAAATTGCAATTTGCATGGTTATTATCTTGCTTTCCAGGTATGGTCTCAAAGATTTCCTTTATTCATTATAATTATGAGCTGTATTCTTGACAGGGAGTGGGTGGCATTATGGAGTTGGCCCCAGGATATTTGCCAGCTGTCTATAGCACCATTAGAAAGGCTGGGGGACTTTGTATAGCTGATGAGGTTCAATCAGGTTTTGCTCGCACTGGAAGCCATTTTTGGGGGTTTGAGTTCCATGGTGTTGTGCCTGATATTGTTACCATGGCAAAGGTAGTTTCTTCTTGCTTATCTATTGTTTGCCGGATTTTCTTCGAGATGTTTTGGTGCGAACTTGTAGATCATTGTCCAAAGCCCCTGCTGCACAGGTGCCGTTCTGATAAAATTCTATAGGATTCTGTGAACGTGATATTGTCTTTTTGCAATATAGTTTGTTCATAGGACTACGTTATTTGTTCTCCCTCGTGCTACTATTAAGAGAACCCTTACAAACTTTTGTAGAATCATGCTTTGTGTTGCACTTAATATATCATCTTCTGCTATGGTCTTCAGGGCATCGGAAATGGAATTCCCCTTGGTGCTGTGGTTACCACTCCAGAGATTGCAAAAGTCTTGACTCAGCGCAATTATTTCAATACCTTCGGTGGTAATCCTGTATGTACTGCTGCTGGGCATGCTGTTCTTAAAGTAATAGAAAAAGAAAATCTTCAGCAGAATGCATTCAATGTGGGATTGCACCTGAAGCAACGTCTAAATTCCCTGAAGGAGAAATACGAGAGTAAGCCTTCTTCACTAATGTAGTAAATGCTCATGGAGATTTTTGCAGTTCATGGCAGTCGAAGTAATATCCTGAACACTATATGCTGAGGAATTAGTTAATTGTAGTTACTACGGTTTCAGTTTTATGTTTGAAAGACGACAAGAACTGAAATGCGTTAATCTTTTATTTAATTTTCCTCAGATTATTAGTTCTTGATTATTGGTATGATTTGTGCAGTTATTGGAGACGTGAGGGGAAGAGGTCTGATGCTCGGGGTGGAACTTGTAACAGATAGTCACCTAAAAACTCCTGCTAAGGCTGAGACTGCGCATGTGATGGACCAGATGAAAGGTGCCATTCTTGTCTCTATTCAAATTACAGCGTTCCTCATTCATCTCTGTCTGCTGAAATTTGACAGATAAACTTTCTCTTGTTTTCAGAAATGGGGGTACTGATAGGAAAGGGGGGCTTTTTGGGGAATGTATTCAGGATCACTCCTCCCCTATGCTTCACCAAGGAGGATGCTGGTAAGTTTTCAACGTCTTCAGATTATACCTTGTTTTGATAATTGATGACATGACTCTATTAACCTTCCTATAGATTTCCTCGTGGATGTGATGGACTACACAATGTCAAAGATGTAAAGACAACGCAGTGAAGTAAAAGAAGATGGGTACCAATGACTGGCATATTGATATATTATTGTATGCAACTTATCAAGTGGTAAAGGAGATGTTAAAATAGCTTTATCCTATCTATAATAGTGAATGCATCAACTTAGATGACTGGGTCGACTTATTAAAGTTTGATCATAACAGTTTGATTATCTTGATACTCAACTTTTAGACGTCCAAGTGAACACCTTACCAACGATTCAACTGAAGATATCATCCTTAACATATGAACATATCATATTAAGCCAGCAATTTGGAAACCAAATCAATCCTCTATGCCAAAATACTTGTTGCTAAATTTTGACGTCCAATTAGAGATGGTGACTACACGAAGATGCTCCACTTTTCATTGATTATGATCCACAAATGGGGAATAGTATAGAAGTGCACTTTAGACTTGCTCAACTTTGTTTAAATACATTCCAAGTGTTTCCGTCATCTAACATCAATAAAATTAACTTTGACTCGATTGGTGCAGGGTTTTAAATACACAAAATTACATAAACTTTACTCCACATATGAACTCAACTTTATATAAAAACCATAACTGAATTCATAAATTTGTATATCATCCATACATTAATTAGTTTTCGTTAGTCAAAGCTAACATAGTAATTCACATAGTAAACATAGCGCCTACCTAACAATTACTAGATACTTGGCAAATTAATTACGCAAATGATACATGAATTTTATCTTCAGTATCAAATTCATACGTGAACTATGCACACTATTATCAAAAATGAACTCAGCCCCTGTTTGAGCCATGTTATTTTTTTCATTCTCATTATTCTACTCATTTTTAACCACGTATTTTTTAATAAAATAATATTTTTCATCACATCAATAACTTTTCATTTCTTTTCAACCACATATTCTCCATCACACCAAACAAAAAAAAACGAATTCTTGGACTCAAATGTGCACCAAACAAGGTCTCAATCATGCAAAATTGTCACTTATCCTACAATTCCATATCAAATCATTTAAACGTTCTGATTTAACTTATCAAATCTGTTCAACCACAAATTTCATTAAATATTTTCTTTAATTGTGTTTAATCTTATTTAGTGCATGTTTGACATACATTAATTTAATTCATGGTTTGCTATGTGATCATTTTCAATCACACATTCGTACAATAAGATATTATAAACTTATAAAAAAAAATTTTCCAACTTTTTAACTAGTATTCTTCTAAAAATACTATTCAAAACTCTCTTTTTTCCCGAATGAGAATCAGGCTCTTAGTTGTCATTGCATACTTTTATAAAAAATGCTACTTGTACACATTGGTACACAACCTCTCACATGTGTGTGAGGTCCACAATGCACTCACACACATATGAGAGAGTTGTGTACCAAATGTGGGCCCCAGACACATGTGAGAGGCTATAGCCCAGCCCTACCCCTAGCCTAGAAGCAAAATTTTATTAATATTTGGTTAATTGTGTATCATTTCAGTTTTAGATTTGAGTTAGAAATGAAGTTAATTGGACTAAAATTAATATTTTGGGGGGGACAAATTTTATTCTTTTTAATTTTTCACCATGAGTTTACTTCTGGGCTGGAGAATTAAATTTGGGGTTGGACTAATTTTTTTCTTTTTAGTTGTTCACCCTGAATTTGCTTATGAAATGATGTTATTATCAAAATAAGTAATAAACTATATATTTAATTTTATTAGTTTAAAAATATATTTGTTAAAACTTTGTTACGAGTATTTAAAAATATATTATGACTAATGTTTTAAAAACTGACCTGATCATTGACTTGGAAAAAGTGAAGGTCAAAATGTTCAACCGAGGTCAAATCGGGATCGAACTGAATGCAATAAATACATACAAAAATAATAAAATACTATGAAAACGATAATTTTTTTTTTCATATTAATAATTCAAAGTAAATCTAGCTTTGTTAATTAGATTCATTATCCTACAATTAGTCTCGATACTTCAAAAATTAAAAATCAATAAATTAAAATAGTTTACTTTGTTAAATTAAAATAGTTTAAACTCATAGAAAATGATATCTAACATTAATATATTAATAATCAAGTGCGATTTAAGTTAAATTTGAAAATTAAATAAATGAAAGGATGAAAGTGAATATTACAATTTAATTAGTGGAGATTCAAAATCAAATTAATCAATTAAACATACATTTGGAAAATGATTTTGCTGGGCATTTTAACACTTGTTTGTTATGCCACTATCCCACATTGAAAATTTATGAAATCATTCGAGAGAAGTGTATCTATAAAATGAGCATGTCATCCAACGGTTTTCTATGAGCATTTGAATTGTAATTTATGAAGTTTATTCATGAAGTTAAAATTTTTAAATCTAAAAAAGAAAAAAAATCGGGAAAAGCACCAAATCGCGACCAGTCTAATGTATCTTTCTGGCTCTGCCTCTGGAGGGTTGTGTACCAAGGTGTGTAAGTGTAGCAATGTAACTCACCCACACATATGTGAGAGGGTTGTGTACCAAATATGGATTCCCTACACACATATGAGAGAGTTGTGTATCAAGTGGGTAGGTGTAGCAATCTTCTACTTTTATAGTTTTACCCGTGAAAGTCAATGCACGTGCCACCAGATAGCACGCTTTCTTTCAATTCCGGTCCCAATACTCTGTCCGAATATATCATCCCTTCATCTCCATCTCATCTACCTCTTTATTCTTGTTTTCCCTTAATTTTTACATAAATAACAATTGTTAACTGAATTATTATATGGAAGAAAACTCTACAGCCTCCGATCAGAATCAATTCCAGGCCAATTTCCAAATCCCATTCGATTATTTTGTATCCAAGAAACACAAGGCAATTGGGAGCGGTTGTGTTTTAGGTTTCACTGATTCATTCGGTAATTATGTGTACGGAGTCCAGCATTTATCCCAGAAATCAAAAGATCATCCACACTGCATAAAGCTTTTTCTCGATGCATCTGGCGATACCCTCTTCTCCATACACCGAGTAAATGTCAGTCATCCGTCCTTAAATCAATTTTGGGTTTCTTGAATTCCAAGGAAATGTAATTGCTAGAATTAAGTAAAGATCACCGATTCGTCGAGTAAAGAAATAATGCCTGGTTTCTACTGTGGATCTTGTTGTGCAAAAAATTCTTGTTTTAATTTTTAACCTGGTTCATAATTATTGTGTATCTGTATGTATAAGCCAAAAGAAAAGGGGATAATTCGAAGTATGTGTTACTAAGGGGCTGTTTGTCAGAGCTTTTGCTTTTGCTTTTGCTTCTCGTTTGAGCATGTTCAAGAGCACATTCGTAGTTTAAGAAGCAGCTTTTGTCTTTTTAAAGCGCTACCAAACAGGCACTAAATGAGATAATTTATAATAATCTAGTGCATTTGTAGCTTGTTTAATGATGTTGATGTGTGAAAATGATCCCTTTACTTTCTCTAGAATTCTGAAAATTTTGTGCATTTTCTTTCGTTGAGTCTTGTAGAAGGGGTCATGGCAATGTTTTAGGGGAAAAGAGAGCAGAGAGGAGGAGTTGATATTCAAAGTAGAGAGGACAGTAGATGAATTTACCAGAACTGAGTTTGAAATATCACTTAGCGGTGAAAATGATGAAGACTCAAAGACTGAGCTCAAGATGAAAGGTTCCCCTTTCAAGAGATCCTGCACCATTTATAAAGGCGATTCGATCGTGGCTGAGGTACCATTCACACATCTTAACAATTTCGAATTATATTTAGTCATGAGAACAATCAATTATCAGCAAATGCTTGGGATTTTGGCTTACCTATAAACTGTGCTTCATTTTGATGCAGACTAGCCTCATGCACAAGCTGGGGATCAAGAAAATGTTTGTTCCAAGGAGCCGATTTCGAGTAACTATATTTCCTGGATGTAGTGATCACAGTTTAGCTCTAGCTCTTGTTGTAATATTTTTTGATGGAAGAAAACTTTGGATATGAATGAGTTACACACACTTGTATCCCATTCCACTCTTCATTTATATGAAATAACCATCCATTTGATTTGATTTGATTTGATTTGCTTCATTCATTTATATGATTTATGCTTTCAAAGTTTAAAGTTCACATCCTCATAGGGCTTGAGTCATTTGATCCAATATTTAGCATATATAGCCTCGTTTGAGTTCCATTAAACAAAGAATGGAACAGTACCTACTCTTAACGATCAAAGCGAACCCCTTTATTCTGAATTCGTTAATTCAGAATGAATAAAATTTCCCCATTTTTTGAGAATAAATTTTGTAAAAAAGTGTTTTTTTTAAAGAATTTATAGTTTTAAAGTAAAAAAAAAAAAAAATTGAATTTACATGCAAAACTATTTTATTAAGAGAATGTGACTATAAATGAGTGAAAAAAATGAGTTTTAAAGACTAAGACTTAAATAAGAACGGTGTGGTAGTTCGCTAAATCATTGTGTCTTTTCTTCTACATTTCCTACTATAATTAAAAAGCCAGTTTTGGGATCACTGTAGATGCAATAGTAAAGTAATGAGATGTTACTGCTCATTTTTCCAGATTTCTCTCCTCCGGTCATCCAATTTTTGCTACTATGTTAAAAAAAAATCGATTTTCACTCAATTTTAACTGTTTCATTGTATATTTTATCTTTCTATTTTGAAAAAAATTGATTTTATATGTTGAAAATTGGTTACAGGCATCTAAAGAAAATTTCCGCGCGTACGAAGACACCTTGTCTGTGTCTCCGCGCCGCGGAGACTCCACACGGACACGGATCCGTGTCAGGACAAGATGTCTTTGCGTTCACGCAGAGATTTTTTTTTTGCCTCAAATTTTCGCTACTATGTTAAAAAAAAAAAAAGTCAATTTTCACTCAATTTTAACTGTTTCGTTGTATATTTTATTTTTCTATTTTGAGAAGAGAGAAAAAAAGTCTCAGCGCGTGCGGGAACACCATGTCCGTGCATCTCACGGACACGGTGTGTCCGCATTCGAACACGATGTCTCCGCGCGCGTGGAGGCATTTATTTATTTGGTTTTTTTCCTCCAATTTTCGCTGCTATGTTAAAAAAAAAGGTCAATTTTCACTTAATTTTAACTCCTTCGTTGTATATTTTATCCTTCTATTTTGAGAAGAGAAAAAAAAAAGTCTCCATGCGCACGGAGACATTTTTTTCCTCCAATTTTCACTGCTATGTTAAAAAAAGTCAATTTTCACTCGATTTGAACTGCTTCATTGTATATTTTATCTTTCTATTTTGAGAAGGAAAAAAAAAGTCTCTGCGCCGTGTCCGTGTCTCCGCATCAAGGGGACTCCGTGTCCGCGAGATGCGCGGACAAAAGGGAGAGCTAAAAAATTGGCCAGCTAACTTTGCATTTTTTCATAGGCGCCAACGTAATATATGCTTTTTTTTTTCTTTTTCTCTTCAGGCTTTTACATCAAAGCCATAGAAATTCTTGTTGAAGAAAGTAATGTTCAGCAAGTCGATGCCCTCTGGTATTTTGAATTTCATGCTCGCGCTGTGTAGAGAGATGGATCTTTCCGTGCTGTGCGGAGTTCAACTTTTTTTTCCCTAACGAAATAAAAACATCCTATGGTTTTTATTTCTCCGAAATCAAAACAAATCCTTCAATAAGGACCAAATATTGAGGCTTTCAATTTCTACTTCAATTCCTGATTTTGGAGTTGTATGTCTGGCAATTTGAAGGTTAGGGTTTCGAGGTATTGCTCCCTTTCTGCATTTAAAAATCAAATCTTGATATTCTTGATACTATTTATTGTATTGTGTAATTTTAGAACATTCTTATGTATGTGTATGGGCTTTATGGGTTGATGATGTATAAACTGCATTGTTAAATTGGTGTTCTGAGATTTTTTATTTCTTTTCTTCTACCTATGTTTGATATTATATTCATAAACGGAGAGGCACTTTTGGTTCTTGTTTATGAGAGTGTGGTTACAGTTAGTTTTTCTTCTTTTTGTTGTATGCATATGGGTTCAATTTGTGAGCATGTTAATTCTATTTTATTTTATGCTTTGGCCCTGGTTCTATTTATGGGAGTTCCTATTACACGCTTCCCCCAAAGTCATTAACTAATTATTTCATTTGATTTGATTTTAATCTCTGTATGTGTCTTAAGCTTTTGGTTATTCGTCATCTTCCAGAAGCTAGAAAAATTACGATTTTCGGGTTCACTCTTTTTGTGCCTTGTTTAAGATTATAGTTTACTTTTACCCAAATTATGAGTGCTTTATCTTATTCTCATATGCTGGTTAGTAAGGCTACATTTGATAGTAGAAAAATTGAAAGCAAGGATTTTGGTGAATTGCTGTCATTGGCATTGACTTGGTTGCAATCTCCCATGGTTGGAATTTGTGAAGTGCTTGACAATTGAAATGATAGTGCTTCAAGTTTAGAGTTATATAGTCTATGAATTTCCTGCGTTGGTGCCATCAAATTATGAAGATATTAGAAAAAAAATATGAAAATAGTTTTCCTTGCTCATGAATTTTCCAACGTTCTATTATCAGATACTCTAAATTCCGTGCAAAATTGTTCCTGAGTTTGTGCTCGTCGTGCTAACTTGTAAGTTGTAAAGCTCCAATTTTTCAGTGTTTCTTCCTGCTTTGAACATATCTTTGTGTGCCATAATTTATATTTTAAATTGGCATTGAACTTTATCATTATAAACTTCTTTGTCGTTTAGGATGTGGTGCTGAAACTATATTTTCTTTTGGCCTATTTTGTCCATTCATTGACTCTGGGAATATTAAGCAAGGTTTATACGGCTGTTTCGTGAATCATGTCCTTTTGCCATTGAGTATTCATTTTTCTGTGTCCTTTCTTTGGGGTTTGGTTTACAAATGTTATTTGCATTTCAGTTCTTTGGCTCATTCTTTGATTATTTGGTTTGGTAAATGGATTTGATAAGGCCTTAGCTAATGGAGAATAAATTATCTACTTCCCTGGACACGAGAATGAAACTTTGCGTATAATATCTACATTCTGTTTTGTCCGGGAAATTTCCTCTATTTATATAAGGATTGTTGGCAAAGACTTGGATAACTTTGTTCTAATTTTCAGTCAAGGCGTTTCCTTCTCCCCCTTCCAGACTGCATGACAAACGCCATAGTTTATTAGCTATGCTGAAATTTGGAATCTGTGATATGCCTATTATCAGTTTTTTCATTTCTTGATACGAAAAATTGTGGTGATACAAAAATTGTGTTAACATCAAGATAATCCTATCTTGGAATTTGCTTCCCGAAAAAATGCTACCATTGACCACAATTATAATACTCCAACTATTCCAACGTGGCATTGGTTTTTTGGAGGGAAGCTAAGCAAGTGTGGACCATAAAACTTATTTGCTCAATTATTTTATATTTCTCCCACCGTTTTCCTTGTAGATGAAAAATCATACAACCCCAAATTCTTCACTCTCCCTGTTGAGGTGTTAATAGTATAATTGTGATTGGAAAAGGGATATATTTTATCTCATTCAAAAAAGCTCTACTGTTTTCGGAAACACTTTTGATTTCGTTTTGGTTATCATCAACTTGAACTCAATGTTATGTCGGCACATGGGTAGCATGCCAATTTACTTGCCTCTTCATTTTTTACCATTTATTACTAATTCTTCTCCTATGACTGAGCAGTCTAATGCGTGGCGAAGAAATTTAGAAGAACATATTTATTCATATATGTTCCCATCTTTAGAATTGTTCAACTTTTCTGATTATATCTTTTTTTCTTTTCTACGTTCTTGTTTTCTCTTTGTGTTAGGTAATTGAGTGTGACAGGATTCAGGGAGTCAATTAGTTTTAGCTGTTGAGTTCTGCTGGACATCGTTGGACTTTCTTGTTTATTTTTGCATTCACATATGATTAAGGTGACTTTTATTTTTAAAATGTAATATTCACTCATCATGAATCATGATTGGATAAACTGCTGGTGAAAGGCAACCTTTCATCTGGGAGATGGTCGACCCCTTAGCGATTTAGATTGCGACAGCAATAAATAACTTTTCTCTCTATTGCGCTGTTTTAATATCTGGCTCTATATTTTAATACTAAAGGTTTTACACCCCAATGCTATTTTTTGTTCCGGTGAGATTATTTTCAATCAATCTTGATACACTGTAGGATTATCACAATTTTGTATACTGCCTACACTGAATACTTTTAATATATCGTTGTGAAATTCACTAACTAGATGTATTTGTATAACTGAGAATGTAGCTGCTATCATTGATAGCTACTTGTTTGCTTCAATTTTGACACTATTTTATTTGTCAATGTCGTTAATAGAAAGAGATTGCTTGTTGTTAAGCATTTGGAAAATGAGGCTTGACCATTTGATGATCAATTCATTTCTTCAAGTTGCTGATGCTCTGTATTATAATGCACACTTGTTGCTCAATGTTCTGCAGAAGCTTAACATTGCAACATAAATGTTTAATCTTTGGTTCCAAATGTTGGAACAAACTAAAAAGAATGGAGTATGCACTTGTTTAGGTTTCTTTCTATTTTCCCTCAACCTTCTGCCAAAGAGATATGCTTAAGGATTCATATCATGTTAATTAATTATGATTTCCAAAATGTGGGGTGTGCTATTTTTTGTTCCGGTGAGATTATTTTCAAACAATCTTGATACACTGTAGGATTATCACAATTTTGTGTACTGCCTACACTGAATACTTTTAATATATCGTTGCGGAATTCACCAACTAGATGTATTTGTGTAACTGAGAATGTAGCTGCTATCATTGATAGCTACTTGTTTGCTTCAATTTTGACACTATTTTATTTGTCAATGTCATTAATAGAAAGAGATTGCTTGTTGTTAAGCATTTGGAAAATGAGGCTTGACCATTTGATGATCAATTCATTTCTTCAAGTTGCTGATGCTCTGTATTATAATGCACACTTGTCGCTCAATGTTTTGCAGAAGCTTAACATTGCAACATAAATGTTTAAT